TCCCTTACTTCCCCCAGGAGTGATGGTTTAGTATTCACTAATTCAGTTTGTGGTGACTTTATAGAATACAACTTACTGTGACTGATGAGAATTGACTGTATTTTACTCAACCAGATTTACACAGCTCATCCTATACTATTGACGAATATTTTATACTCATCTGGAGAGAATACATAATTAGCCATCAAGTTATTTAAATATATGTAATTAGATTGGTAACAATTTATTTCTTAAAATATGACACAGACATTATTCCTGGCAAAAATCTTCCCATTTCAATCCACTTTTCCTAACCAATCTTCCATTCTCCTCTTACCAAGAATAATTACTGATGTGGTCCCATCCCCAACCTCTTCATCCTGTGTCCGGCTAATTTCAATCATGGACTTGGCTGCTGGATGCTGAACTTGAATCTGAAAAGAAAAATGTAGACTGCCAGTAGAAACAATACTACTCAAAGACTTTTTAATCCATTCTGCTTGGCCCTAACTCTTTTTTAAAAAATATATAGATTTCAGAGAGAGGAAGGGAGAGGAGAGAGAGATAGAAACATCAATGATGAGAGTTGTCATTGATTGGCTGCCTCCTGCACGCCCCCAATTGGGGATTGAGCCTGCAACCTGGGCATGTGCCCTGACCAGGACATGAACTGCAATCTCCTGGATCCAAGGTGGATGCTCAACTGCTGAGCTATGCCAGGCCGGGCTTGGCCCTAACTCTTAAGCTTCTTGCTTCCATACTTCCTCCTCTTTCCTTTGTTGTACCATAGTGTGAAATATTAAAAATGGTCCCTCAAATATCTAAGTAAACCACCTTTCTAACTTCCTTTCTTTTTAGGCAAAAATGTATTATGCCAACTGAACTACTAAAGTTTTTTGAGAACAGTATCTTTTAGCTTATTTACTGGGAGCACCACTGTTGTGGTTGAATTATGTCCTCCAAAAGGACATGTGGAAGCTCTACCCTCTGGAAACTGTAAATGTGACTATATTTGGAAATAGGGTCATTGCAAATATAAACAAGATGAGGTCATAGGAATATTAGTGTAGGCTCTAAATCCAACCATTGGTGTCCTTATAATGAGAGACACAGAAGGATGTCATATGACAACTAAGGAGGAGACTGAGTTTACAAACCAAGGAATGTGGTCAACCATCAGAAGCTACAAAAGGAAAGAAGGATTCTTCCCTAGAGCCTTCAGAAGGAGCATGACACCTTGATTTCAGATTTCTAGCCTCTAGGCTATGAAAGAGTAAGTTTCTATTACTTAAAGCCTCACAGTTTGTGTTAATTTGTTCAGGCAGCCCTAAGAAAACTAATCATCTACATATATCTTTATGGATATTTTATCATATCAAATTGTTAGAAAGCATAATGAAAAGTCATACCTCTCGAAGAATGGCATTGCCATCATTAGTCATCACGATGCCTCCCATTGGGTCTAAAAGCATCTAGGACAAAAGCAGAAGTTATATTTCCGTGTTCCAGATAACAGAAAGGGAAAACCTGTAGTCGAAGAGTTTCAATAAGAAATAAGCCTACCTTCATCATGGACTTGGGTCCCAAACATGTTCGGATGATATCTGCAATAGTCTATTGGGAAGAAAATAAAAAATATGTAAGCACAAATCAGAGGATGATGTGAGTGTGTATGCTCAGAAAAGGGGCATCAGTGACCCACAGAGTCAGTGTTTTAGCAACGTCCCATCTAAAGTAGGGTTGGCAGCCTTTTAAATATAGTATGCCTATGGCTAGATTCTAGACCTTGTTTTTCCCTTTTGGGAACGCTTTCAGGGTAGATATAGAAAGAAATGACTTTTCACAAGAAAAGAGAAGACATGCTTTCCACAGCTTTAGTTTTCCAGTAGTCCACATAAATGGAAATCCATGTCTTAGTATTTCTTTCCATAATAGTGGCCTCCACACCATACTAAATCAGATTTAGGGCTATTTCATTCAAAAGGTATTAAATACCTATTTGGGATCTACAGTGGCACTAAGAATACAAAAGGGAATTAATACAGCCCTTCCCCTCAAGTAACTTATTCCAGTATGGGAGACAAACACATATAGAATATAAAACAATATACAGCAATGGAATTATGCGTAAGTTAACATGAGAAAACTATTAAGCCTAATTCAGAATGGGAGGGCTTCCTTCTCCCTACCTCCATCAAGGAACTGTCCTGAAGGAAGGGAAGTCAATTTTTCCTCTGCCTAATTGCAAACAGATACAGAATAATAGGGAAGGCAGCTGGAGGAAAAACTACTACACTTTAAATAACTTCAAAGATATGCTACCTTGGCGGCATTGATGTTTCCAGATTGAACTTTTCTTCCAGATTCACGCTTTGTGTTCTGGCCTAGAATAGGTAAAAACAAAAGACAACAGCCCAGGATTGTCCCATTGTATATAAGCTATTTATTCCCCAACCTTTGAAAATAAAAACACACAGGTTTCATGGGTGCATATGTAGATTAAAGTTTACAGAAATTGTATATTTTAAGCCCTGGCCGGGTAGCTCAGGTGCTTAGAACGTGGTCCCGATATATCAAAGATCCCCAGTCAGGGAACACACAAGAATCAACCAATGAATGAATGAATAAGTGGAATAATAATGTTTTTCTCTCTCTCTCTCCCTTCCTCTCTCTCTAAAATCAATAAATTTAAAAATATATATTTTTAAACTGTACTTCAACCCCTGGTATACTAAGAAACAACCCACAGACCCTCAACTTTGGAATCATGGTCATCACTTTCCCTCTAACCAAACATTCATGTATTTACAGCAAGGATTCATAACCTAAGATCCATGAATGGGCCCCAGTAGGAAAGTGAAATCCCTGCGATTATATGAGAAAATGGGAGATACTGAATTTTTGTCTGGAAAAAGGATCTATAGCTATCATTGAATTCTCAAAGGGCTAGTGAGCCTAAAAAAATACCAATCACTGCCCAGCCAGGCGTGGCTCAGCGGTTGAGCATTGACCTAGGATCCAGGCGATCGGGGTTCAATTCCTGGTCAGGGCACATACCCGGTTGCGGGCTTGACCAATGACCCTCTCATCATCGATGTTTCCATCTCTCTCTCCCTCTCCTTTCCTCTCTCTGAAATCAATAAAGATATATTAAAAAAAAAAAACACCAAAAAAAACAATCACTGCTTTATGTAAAAAGAGTTTGGGGGTTCATACTTTCCTACTTGGATAAGGAGAATCACATTCCTGACAATTATTGATAGTGCCCCCTCCACTGTGCTGTGGAATGAGAATACACTCTTTTAAAGTGTCCCAGTTTGCAAGATACAGTCACTCAATGCTTGGATATAAGAAGAATGCCTCAGTAACCCATTCACTATCAGTTAAGAGCTGTGTACATATTTTAATAGGGAGCCAAATCAGTTATAGTCACTAATGCCAGGGATTAATGCAGACCCGAAAAGGCCTTCACAATGCAGCACCACTCACCCCAGGGCCCTCTCAGTGGAGACAATCCAGTGGTTATAACCAAACCAACATACCCTCGTTTCCCTCCTCTCCCCAAATTATACATTCCCTACAATTTAAACCTGTAAAAATTTCAATCCAGTCCCATCAAATCTAAACGTTCACAATTCTCAGGACTTAGATTCCCATTTCAGGCAGTAGTAGTAAGTAAAATCCTGCGTGAACCCTTCTTATGGATTCATCAGAAAGGTTTTTCTCTGGGTTAAGTGAAGTTTTTTCTGAAAACAGTTATTTCCCAGGTATAGAGAAAATGGATAAAATCTCTGAACGGCATTCAGTATACAGAAGATGGCAAGCAAGGGAAAATGGCTAGTTGGCCATCTCAGATGGTCTTGCAGATGTCACACAGAAGTTACACACAGAATGGAAACACACCGGGGGAAGACAATGAAGGAGGTACTTATTAGTCATAACGAAATTTGGGATGTTCCCAAAGGGTAAAGAGAACCAGCCAAGAAATTTGGGAAAACTCGAGTTGGTTAATGGGAACGATTACAACGCAGGGGACACTGAGGGAGTAATTACATCTCATCTCAGACAGACGAGAGGGAAGCAGAGTTACTTCAGGAACAGGGAGGGAGGGATTGCTGAGCGGAAATTCAAGAGGGCTGTTACTGAAAAACGACCAAAGATACCACTTGCTATTTGCCAGGCACTCTTTTAAGCAGTTCACCTATTTATTCATTTGATCCTCGCGATCCTACGGGGAAATGCTGTTAACCCCAATAATAAAGACGGAAACACTTAAGCAATATGGCCGTGGCCACACCGGCTACCAAGGGATGGACCAAGGCTATAAAGCTAGGCCAAACTAAAAACACCATTATTCATTTACATACACTGGAAATCACGTAAGGAAGAGTGCAGGGAAGAGGGGGGGTGAAGAACGAAGGCCGAGCGGGAAGGATCCCGGGGCGAGTAGCCGTAAAGACAAGGAGCTGGGCGAGGGGAAGGGCAGTTTGCGTTTGGGATGACGGGACTGGGTTAAGGGATGACAGGAAAGCGGGAGAAGGGGCATCCCAAATGAGGAGGATGACTGGAAGGCACAGTAGCCGGACAACGGCGGGACTGGACTGTGGCAACCCTGAAAAGTGTGGCCCGAGAGGGGAAGAAGTGGGGTTTCTTCCCCGGCTTCCCCAAAACTCACTGAGCACGAGCACGGGACGATGGCCCATCATGGCGGCGCGATGTGGAGCCCGGTACCCGGAGCCGAAGAAACAGGCAGAAGCTTCTGGAGAGGGAACCTGAGAGAAGACCAGAAAACGTTGCCTTCTCAGGGCTTACACCTAAAATGCTACTCTCCGGGTCACCACCAATCACCGCACCCACCTCATTGACCGACACGAAAATAGGCCAATTGACATCCTTAGCCCCGCCTCCTACGCTAGAACGGCAGGGGAAGCTAGGTAGAGAGGGCGCGATGATGGTAGCGGGAGAGCCCTGGCGCTTGCGCAATAAGGTGGCCGCTCCCGTCCGCGTGCGGCGCGAACGTCGGCGCAAGCGCCAAGGCTCCGGCACTCGGCCTGCACGCCACTGCGCATGTATTTCAACTACAGGGTGGGTGCTGGGGTGGAGGCTTTCAATAAAGTACGCAGGTAGGTCAGTGGACTGGCTTGCGTCTCAGTTTCTCTCGGGCCGCAAAAGTCGAGAAAGGCGTGACAGTTTCCACAACCTTTCCAGCCTTTGCAACGTGAAGGAATCAAGGGGCGGGACTTCAGTAGCCCTTGAGGGAAGACCTCCCTGGTTGGCTGCGGGGGGTGATGGTAGTTGCAGTTCTCCGGCTGGGGTAGGCGGTAACCAGCTTTTCCTGTGGGCACCCTGGGAGTTGTGGTTTATTTCCTCTGCACTCGTTGCTGTGCGTGGACCTTACCCTTCTTAGGCAAATGTTTTATACCGAGGCTGTGAGTGGTGCCAGAGGGTGATGGCTTACTGGCCCCCCGAATTATTCAAAATATTTTCTCAAGTTCCCTGTAGGGCTTTGAGGTTTTCTTTCTCCATGATCATTGCCTTCCCTACCCTCTTCATCCACTCAACTGCTGGTCCGTTGGAGATGGCTGGAGCCAGAGTTTTTAGATTCCTTATACGAAAGGAAAAGGCCTGATACTACAGAAGCTAAACGTGGACAGAACACAGAGTAATTGCCCGTTCGTAGGAGACTGTTAAGGTTTGGGTTTAGTTTCTGTGTGTGTGTGTTTTCCAGAAAAAAACGGAAGCAATAATAATGGAAACAGCTGTTTTTCAAACTAGTGAAGGGACCATAAGAGCACAAACAATTCAGGAATCACTTATATTTGGCCATGAAATAGAAGCGCACACCCTTTCACACTTTTTCCTCCCCAAATTGGAACAGCCTGAGATCTGCTAGAGAGAACTTATGAAATTGTCAATAGTAAAATAATAGCCCAGGTTGTTGATCATGTAATCCTATGATTCTTTCCCAGGCACCACACCCGTTGGTGTTCAGATGGAGCAGCATACTAGTCATCCTACTAACAGAAAAGGTGTGTTGGAGGCCCTGCTTCCCTTTCCTTAAAAGCCAGACCTTAATTGCTCAGCATTTGGGAAACTGATTCTAGTTGTATGTATGTTTTTTTCCTGTTACTTGATTAGTTGGAAAGTATTTTTCTTTCTTCTGCATTTCCCATTAAATGGGAACGTTACTGTATTCCCAGTGCCTAGGACTGGATCTGTTAGGTAATAAATGCTCAATAAATATATGTCAAATGAATATAATATTTCTCCTTTGTATCTCCTCTTAATACTTTGAACAAGTTTTTGTACAGGGATCCCAGAAGACATAGTGTTGACTGGAATGAACACTCAGTTTGAGTAGGACAGTACCACTGGTGGCCAGGGAAATGCTTGAGGCCATCTGACTATCCACTTAACTGTGTGGAGCAGATTACTTCAGCTGAGAGGCCTACTATGTCATAGTACGGGCATCAATGAACTAGCTCTTTTCACAGAGTTTATAGGCTTGGATTTGATTCCATCACTGCCACATACTAATGGTGGAATCTTGAGCAGATTTCCTAACTTAAGTTTTTTCAAATAAAATGTGGATAAAGCTACCTACTTCAGAGGGTTATTGTGAAAAATATATAAGATAATATATGTAGCCTGGCTGGCATGGCTCAGTGGTTGAGCATCAACCCATGAACCAGGAGGTCACAGTTTGGACTCCGGTCAAGGCACATGCCTGGGTTGCCCGCTTGTCCCCAGTAGGAGGCGTGCAGGGGCAGGCGATCAATGACTCTCTCATCACAGATGTTTCTATCTCTCCCTCTCCCTTTCTCTCTCTGAAATCAATAAAAGCATATTTTTTTTAAAAAGATAAGGTATGTAAAGCACCCTTTGGAATTTTCTGCCACCTTTTGCTGCACAGAATAGGAAGAAGAGCTGCAAAAACCAGGGCCTCGGGGACTGAAACGGGATTCAGTGCCTGTATGTATCTGTCTATCCATCTCTCTCCGTGTCTTTAATCTTTTGCTTGTATCTGCTTACCATGACATGCTGGCCAAATTCAATAGCTTTCATTGGCCCCAACTTTACATCTTCCCAGCATAGCAAATCAGAAGAAAGCAAGATTCTTTGACATAGAGAATGACTCTGGCCCAACTTGCCTTATGTGCTTACCCCTTGGATCAATCACAGTTGCCAAGGGGGACAGGATATCATAACTAGTTCACATGCCCTTTCCTGTTGGGGAGAGGGACCTGATGCAGACCCCCTAGTATGGCCTGAAATCTAGGGAAAGAACAGTATCCTAGAGGAAGAGTTGCTAGGTAGACAAAAATAACGTATGTCTTCTATAGGACTCGTCGTCTTCCTACAAATCAGTTTTTCCTTCTACTTTAACTATTTTTGTCCAAGGTTATCTCTTTTCCCATTTAAGTATTTCTTCCAATGTCCAACTCATTTTAATGCCTGTAGATTAACTGAAATACAATTTTAATCATATTTCCTAATCCTAAAAGGTTCGATGGCTTTCCATTGTGTTCAAGAGAAAGCCTAAAGGGCCTTCTGTGACCCATCTTGCCTTCCCACTCTCCCTAACCCTAATTCTGGCCAGTTTCCCAGGGCTCATCATTCCAGCAATATTCTTGCTCCCTTGCCTTTGCTCTTGCTCTCCTTTTTTCTCTCACTTAAAATATATTTTCCACTCATCAAAAGCTTCCTGTTTTCAAAGTTTAATAAATATACTCCACCTGCCTGGAGTCATCTCTAACTATTGTACTCATATTGATCTCTTCCCCCTTTTCAAAAACATTCATTTTTACATTTACTCACATATTTCATATAACTGAAAGATAAAAGGCCTAATTTTCATACCAGAGTGTCAGACTCATTGTTTATGTCCTTGTGTTGTTATATCACCATTTCCTCAGCATCTGATTTGTTTTCCTAACTAGATATTAATAAGAACTTGTAAACGGTAAGCAAATTAGATTTTAGTTCACCCCATCCCTGCTTGGTTTCTCTTAGGCCCACTATGGTTTCTTTTTGGTGTGTCTTATAGATCTTTCCTTGAAGCTATTCTGGACCAGGGCCTCAGTATCTGCATTCATAGACCAGCTGCAGGGATCTAATTAGAAAGGCCAGCCCCTAGCTGGTTTTGCTCAGTGGTTAGAGCGTCTGCCCCGCACTGAAGGGTCTCGGGTCCGATTCCTGGTCAAGGCATGTTCCTGGGTTGCAGGTTGGATCCCTGGCCCCAGTTGCAGTGCATGTGGGAGGCAGCCAATCGATGTGTCTCTCTCACATCAATGTTTTTTTTTCTCTCTTCCTTCCTCCCTTCCACTCTCTCTAAAAATCACTAGAAAAAATATCCTTGGGGGAGGATTAATAAAAAAAAATAATAATAAAATTTAATTAGAAAGACCATCCCTTGTTCGAATGAGCTCTGATAAGTGCCTCTGCTTTTGTTTTAGCCAAAGAGGGAGGTAATGCTGTGCTTCTTTATCGAGCCAAACCCTCCCCCAGCTTTATTAATCTTCAAGCAAGTTCCCCACCACCTACTTTCCTGAACATCCAGGCAACAAAGCTGCCCTCAGGTAAGGATGCAGGGAGGGTTTCCCAAATAGACTCAGCTCAGGGGTGAGGGTGGGGGTGGGGAAGCAGTGAATGGAGGAGGTGGCCTGAGCTTTCTCCTAATGTCCTAGTGCCAACTCTGGGTCAAGGCACCTTTAGATTTTTTATTGGTAGCTTATTGATTATTCAGTTCAACTGACTTCATTTTCTTCCTGATTCTACTGATTGTGTTATTTTCTTGCTTATTAGCACCTTTATTAGACTAAGCAGGAGACTGAAATGAAAATTTTATTGCTTGCTAGTAATGTTTGTTTGAAGGTAGCCAGGGAAGGAAATAGTAACTATTAGCTCAGTTTCTTTGAATTTCAGTTATTCATCGTCCCCTGGAGAAATCGGTGAGTATTTACCATACCTGTGGGGTGTCTAACAGGGCTCTAGACAGTCATGATCCCTGTTTTTGAGGACCTCAGAGTTTAACAAAAAACACAATAACAATAGATAATAACTACCAAGGTTTAAGAGAAGCTGGCTGCGTATAATGTAGTTGAAACATTAGGAAGAAAATGGACTGATGCAGCAAGATTGGTTGAAGTTAGATAACAAGAAGAACTTCAAGTCTCTACTAATGAGACACTATGTCAGGCAAGAGAAGAAGGCTGAGGCTCACAGAGTTCTTGAAAGGGAAGTTAGGCCTCACTTCCAGATCATTTCATTCACTCACTAGGCACTCTTCTAGGTGCTGGGGATACAGCAATGAACATATCAGACAAAAATCCCTACCTTCCAGGAGCTTACATTCTAGAAGGGGGACTTAGACAATAAAATAAGTAATTACAAAATATGCCATATGATCGTGAATACTATGGGGTAAATAACACAAGGGGAAAGGTAATAAATTCCAGTGATTGGTTTCAAATTAAAATTGAATTGTCAGGTGGGCCTCACTGAGAAGGTGACAGCTGGGCAAAAGTGTGTTTGGGTTGATTTGTGCCTAGAAAGATTAGAGAGGATCATCTTATTGGAGCCCTTCTCACAATGACAAAATCTCTCTTTTGTCTCCTTTTTATCTCCATTGCTCTTCCTTCAGGAACTGACCACAAGCCCAAGGAATGCCCAGGACTCCTAGAATGTATTTATGCCAATCTCCAGCTTCAGACACAACTTGCCCAACAACAGATGGATATTTTGGAAAATTTACAAGCATCTATGACACAACTGGCTCCTGGGAAGAAAAGCAAGAACTCTTTTCTCCCAGCCTTAAATCGCAATCTGTTGTTAAATCACCTGCCTTAATTCAGTAAATGAATTGTGAAACAAAGTTATTGTGTATGTTTTCCCCCCTTTCTTCCAAGTATACCCTCGGTGGAATTTGGGCATATACAAGGTGGGTCAAAAGTAGGCTTATAGTTGTATGTGAAACAGAGTTTATTTTTGTATTATTATTTATTAATTCTTGTATTACTGTCCATACGAACAACTAAACCTACTTTTGACCCACCCTGTATATTCTACATATGGTTGGTTAGTTCACAAGTTCATAATAAGTGCTCTTAGAGTGCTAGAAAGCTCTTCTTGTCCCTAACCCTGAGCCTGACTTCTACAGCTTTCCATAGGCCTTTAGTAAACTAATTCCACTGTGACAACAGGGACCAATTGTGCCCCCATCTCTGAGAATAAGACCTCCATTCTCCAGGTAAAACAGCCCCAGTTTTTCTGATAGCCTCCTGTGGTTTTCATCTGAACCTGCCTCTCTGTTTATTACCCATCTTAGGTATGGCAGGTAACCGTACCAACTGCAGTAGAGTTTGGGAAGGGAATCTGTCAGTTTGGAGGAAGAAACTGGCTGCATGTGGGCAAGGGTCTTCCCATCCCCTGCTGGAGAAGAGGTTTGGCAGCTAGAGGTGGTGTGTGTGTCTCTGGCATTTCCTTGACCACAGGTGAGTTCCTCAGGAATGGGAGGTCAAAGGTTGATAGGTCAAAGGGTCTCAAGATCTGGGCTATTCTTACTAAATGCTATTCTTGCTAACTGGCAAAACGTAGCACAGTATTTTGCAGACCAGCTGTAAACAGGAACTCAAGGGATAAATGTAGCCAAGTGCAAAGAAGAAATCAAAGGGTAAATGACCAAATAGTGTATATAAGCAATGGTTAAGCCCCCCTTCCCAGAGACAGAGCTTTGGATATGAAATTCTCTGTCCCTTTTACTTGCTACAAACAAAACAACGTTGCACCAACCACATCTCCTTTGGATAGAGCACCCCAAGCAGTGAACCTCTTGAGTTTGGTAACAGACACTCCAGGCTGCTCATGAAAGAACAAGGGACCTGATTGTACAGTTATGCATTCCTTTTGGTTACTTCTTTCTTTCTTCATTCATTCATTCCACAAGCATTCACTGAACATCTATCTGGTACGTGCTAGGGACCAGATAGAGGGAAGTTAGACACGACCCTGCCCTGGAGGAGTTCACAGCCTACCCAGAAAACTACATCAACAATTTGTTACAATACTATGTCATAATATAGTAGCAATAGCTCTTTTTATTGTTTTTTTCTGTGCTGGTCACTTCACACATGTCATCCTAGAGTCATACCTGTTATCACAGCTGGGGAGTCTCCCCCATTTGCCAAGACAGCAGTGGGGGAAGGTTCTTACACTGAATGTGCCAAAAGCTAGAAAGATAATTGAATAGGAAAAAAAAAAAAAAGCCCTCCCCTCTCTATCCCTATAAGAATGGTGGCCTCCAGCAGGTAGAGAAACTGGTCTTTGAGACAGGAGTTGGCCATTCTCCCAGGTCATGTGGCTGCTGCATAAAACGTCCTCCCTCTTGCAACAGCACCTGTCTCACGAGTTTGGCTTTCATTGTGGCAGGCAGCCAAGCCTCCATTTATTGTTCAGTTACACTTTCTGGTGACTCTGCTGGGACAGCGTGGACCTCTGTAAGTCCTGGAGGGCTCAGGCTGGGGTCCTGGCTGCCTGCAGCAGGCTGAGCCGGGAGAGCGGGGCCGCGGGGGCTTCCCAGCAGCTGCGGGGGCTTTTCTCGGGGAATTGCCCTGCACTCCTTCTCAAGGCCTCAGCCACCTGAAATGCTTGGCTGGTGAAAGGAAACAGGTTTTGGGGGAGCAGACAAACTCCAAGACTGGGTATGTTGAACTGGGTGCACACCGGGGGTCCTCTATCCCCCATCTCCAAAATACCATCACATTGGGGGGTAGGGCTTCAACATATGAATCTAAGGAGAACACAAGTCAGTCCATCACAGCTCCTTTCTCTCTTATCCCCATATCCAATCCTTCAGTAAACCCTGTCGGTTCTACCATCCGAGTATATCCAGAACCTGACTGCTTCTCACCTAATCTACTGTTACCACTACCACAGCTCTGGCCTGATTGTTCCAGTGGCCTCTGGACTGGCTGCCTGCTTCCATTTGCCCCTACAGTCCATGCTCCCCAGGGATCCTTTAAAATAATTAATCAGATAACATTATTCCTCTGCTCTTGACCCCTCACTTGCTCCCCATAATCCTTACAGTAAAGTCCAAACTCCTTACCAGGGCCTTAAGTCCTACGTGTGCTCACCTCACTCTAGCCAGACTGCCCCCCTCCTCCTCAGGGGCAGCTCATTGCTGTTCCCTCTGCCTCAGAGTCTGTGAGAACCCCCCTCACTTCCTCCCCATCTCTCCTGAGGCCTTCCTTAGCAATACAGTCTAATAGCACCCCTGCCACTCTGTCCCTCACTCAGCTTTGTCTTCTTTAAACCTTTTATGACACTATTTATCTATTGGTGTGTTTATTGTGTGTCTTCCACACTAGAATAGTGGCTCCCCGATGGCAAGGACAATGTCTATTTGTTCAGGGTTGAAAGTAGGGCCTGCTTGACCTCGCAATGGATGGCTCAATAAATAGCTATGAAATGAACAGCTGAATGGGTAGGACTTTGCTTAACAACATTAAGATCTCATATTCTCCCCTGTGTCTCAGGAGCTGGCAGGGCTGCAGGAGGGAGAGCTGGAGCAGACAATCCACTTCCCTAAATGTGCGCTAGAGGGAGCCAAGTTCTCCTGTGTTCATAGTCCAGTTCAATCCCTTTCTGCATCCAGGAACTGCTTGGAGCCAGCACCTCTTGTCAGACCCAAGGACCCATCTCACCACTTTCATCCCAGGTCCTCCTGCCCTGCTGTGCCAGGTCCCCCACAAGGCCCTGGGAAGACAGGATGGGCTTTCAGCCTTTATAACTGTCCTGTCCCTGGTCATATGTGAAGAACATTTTTGCTCAGCTGCTCCCTTTCCAGAGAAGTGTTCATCAAAAAGTGTCACTCATGTTTGGGGAAGGCAGGGAGGGAGCAAGGGTCTAATCCCTGGATGCCTGAACAACAGCTCCTGGCAGAGGAGAGCAGGAGGGCATGAGATAGCCCTCTTGGCTTGTCCAAGGTGCAGTGTGGTTTTGGTTGGCTCAGTGGTGGTGGCAGGATCCTTGGAAGAACTGAAAAAGGGAAGCTGGGGTGGGCATGTAGCTTTTTATTTCCCTACTCCCTTTAACTGCAGTCACATCCATATGGCCCGTTCCTAGAAGCAAGCCCACCACACCTTGGATTTCCTCCTGGCCTTTTCTCTTAAGGGGCCCAGCAAGGCACTTGAGAGTTAACTGAACACACTTCTTTTTATTTCCAAAACGAAGGCCTGAGGGCCAGTTTTCCCGTGTCTATACAGTGAACGAAAGTTCTCCTAAGGCCAGTAGCAGGAGGAATGGAAGGGAAAGAAATAAATGGTGATACCATTTATTTATTTATTTGCTTGTTTGCTTTTTAAATCCCCACCTGAGGACATGGTTAGAGAGAGGAAGGGGGGAAGGAGAGGGGGAGAGAAACATTGATCGGTTGCCTTCCATATGCTCCCCGACTGGGAATTGAACCTGCAACCCAGGTATGTGCCCTGACAGGGAATCAAACCTCAACCAACTGAGACACTCTGGCCAAGCGCCATACCATTTATTTACAAATTTCCTTATTATAGCCATGACTTATACTACTGAAGATAGTACTATACATCATGAGCTTTGGTGGGCATTAGTCTTCACAACAACCCCTGTGGGGTTGTGGGGTAAGGTAAATACTATTATTATATCCATGTAACAGATGAGAAAACTTTGGTTCAAGGCATGCTGAGTAACTTATCCAAAATTGTTTTTGGACAAAGCTGGGAATCTCACCTGTTGCCCTCTCTATTTAAGGCCATGCTCTTACCTTCTGCACTTTGCTGTGCTTCAAAATTTTAGTGCTCAGGAATTGACCACAGAACCCCAACAGGACAGGCAAGAAGCTGAAGCAGGGTGCTGTCAATCTTCAGGATCTGAGACTACATCTCATCCAGTTTGACATCCTGAGAACAGAGTGCAGTCCTGTTTCGTTTGATGGTGACAGACAGATCATGAAGGACACCCCCCCCCCGAAACTAGCACAACACCTAGCACACAGCCGGAATGCAAACGGAATGTGTTAAATGAATGAAATTTTTGGTTTGAGATCATTGCCATCTGACAAACTTTTTTCAATGTACTGTCATTTTTATTTTACATAAATCTGATTCTGACAATCTTTTATGTGGAGACTAATATGGTGAACCTCTGGGGAGGAAAAAAAATCACATTTTATTTTTACCATGTCATGTATGTAAATACAACAATATTTTGCATAGTGCTGCAGTGGCTTTCAGGAGAAATTGAGATCTGGGGTTTGTCTACCCCCCAAAAATGGGCATCGAAGAGCTCTCTACTATAATCTCTTTTCTATTTTCACACCAGAGTGTCAGACAAAAAGGAATCCCTCTTCGCCATCCCAGTTGTAAAATTAAGCCAGGTCTCAATGTATGCATCACTTCCTCTGAGAAGCCTCCCCTGACCTCCCCTACCATGGGTTAAGGCCCCACAGAACCTGTATCCCCATTGTAGTCCTCTGCAGAATGACTGCCTACCTATTCATTTACATCCCCCAGATGAAGCTCCACCCACCCAGAACTGGGGTTTTATCTTGTTTCACTGGATTTCCAGTACCTGGCACAGTGCCTGGCACATAGTGTATGTTTGTCGAATGAAGGAAGGCTCTGCCTGTCCCAAATCTCCTCTACTTAAGAGCTGTTATGTCACTGGAGCTGTTGGTCTGATGGCCCTTTTTGAATGTGCTTATCCTAAGCCCCTGTCCCCTGTTGCTCACCCCCTCTGGTCAATGACAGGAGAATGCTTTGAGATTGTCTGCCCCCTCCATCTGTCCTTGTCCTCAGAGGCATGTGCCCATTGTGTGTTCCAGTTAGTGACCCATTTTTC